TAAAGATTGAATCCATTTTCTCAAATGGGTCTGCTGGCATGAAGTTAGCAGGCCCACAAATATTTTTAAAAAATAGTAACTTTCCTTTTGTGCACTAACGATTTCTTCAGCGGCACTAACGGAACACTAACGATATGAGTAAGCAGAACCATGGTCTGCTGTAGTAGGCCTGCCAAGTTCATGGACATAGCAGATTGGGAAGATTTTCGTTATCCTATCATAGATGGATTTTGAACATATACGTAAGAAATCGTTGCATGTGGGAATCCAAGGACTTCTAAGCATACTACATGAAAGATATTGGGTGATAGGTTATATATAAAAGCAGTACCGCGATAGATCCCCGGATCCCTGATCATCTCCATTACCGATGCAGCCGTTTTTGAAGTAACAGGGGTGGACATTGCGGGATCCTTATTTTTGAAATCAGGAAAAAGGTGTGGATCTGCATTTTCACATGTGCAGTTTATCGCGCAGTCCATCTAGACTCTAGAGCTAACAAATAGGTTGTCAACTGCCAGTTTTTTGCAAGCGGCCGACAACGCACTTGCCTTTTTTTCCGATCGGATTTTTTTATCGTCGCAGTCGTACCAGCAGTGGCGCGTAGAATGGCATTGCGACGTACACATTGTGCGGAAAAATGGACGATCGGATTTATTTAACGCCGACGGCAGCAATACAGTGTGTCATGTGCAGATAAGTTAACAATAATAGTTAATAAGAATAATAATAATAATAATAATTTATTGCCCAACAGACAGATATACATATCCAGTTACAGGACAATATGCTTTAAATGGAGAATGTACAAGCACTAAATTATAATTAAAAAAAAAGAATTAAATACAATTGAACATACCTACTAGATGATACATAAAAAACAAAACAAAAAATTAGTATAATGAACTCTAAAGAAAAGAATATATGAATACAGGGTGAATTCATAAAGGCACGCAAATGATAATTACTACTATTTGTATAGCAGACGTCAAAATTTACAAACGCCATTACCATGATATCGACTAGTATGGGAACTTGATAATTTTGCATCATAATTTATCAAAACGTTTAGATAACTTAAAAATTTGATTAAAATCTATTTGGACCGTCGTAGATTAAATTTTGAATGATACTATATGAAGGTTATTAATGAATATTGTGTAACTAAAATCACTCGGCTACGCCTCGTGAATTTAACCTTACACGCGTTTCATTATGACGTTCATAAACGTATCATTAATACCTATAATAACATTCAAAACTTAATACAATTCAAATAGATTTCATTCGCATTTTTGTGTTATCTAAACATTTTCGTAAATTATAATTCAAAATTATCAAGTGTCCATATTAGTGGATGTCATGGTAATTACGTTTGCCAAAATTGACGTTTGCTGTAGAAAATAGTAGTATTATAGTTATGATTTACGTGCTTTTATGAATTCATAAGAACACTATTGGCCATGCTAAATTTGTCATAAAGACACCGTCATAGAATAAATAAAAGTACTATAATTGTTATTTATAGTGGGTAATTTTAGAGGTTTCCTACGGAAGGTTGTCCATTAGTATTGAGGTACTTAACCAATGAGGCTTGCCGTCTTGAAGAGGTAGTAAGTACATGGATGTTATGAAGTGATTTTACAAATTAAACCAAAAGTTTACACATCCACGAATTTAAAGTTTCTTGAATGTTGCGTTTATCTACGCTGCCAACTTAAAATTTGTCAACGTAAAAGGTGTTGCCAACTTAAGACATATTAATTCTAATGTTTCCTGTACTTTTTGATAATTAAATAGTATGAAAATCACGTGTTACAATTGCCTTATTCGAGGCTTTATTGTAATGTACCACTTGTCTTTCAATATACTATTAATTTATAGCAGTCCCTGGAGAGTTTATTTAGGGTTAAACGATCACCAAAAATAGTACCAACTAAGCAGAAGTGTTGAAAATAAGCTCGAAAATAAGTTTAATCTCCCGTTTATTTAAAAAAAAAAAAATTGGTACAAAACTAAAAGCACATGAAAATTGAGGGAACACGATTGCTAGAATGTCATTCCACTTAATCGACACACGTTTCTGTAGATGATGCTCTATATTCCTTAAAACTGGCTCTTTTATAGTTTGCACTGCAATCATTCAAACTGTGTTCCAAAAGATACAAATGAAACTTTATTCGCCATAAAAACGGAAAATTAAATGCACTCATCTTGTGGTCCGAATTGTCGACGCGTTCATCAGTTGGCAGATGCGGATGCTAAACCTCCATCAGTATTTTCTCTTCCTTAGTGAACATTTCAGTACTCGAAATAAAATGTTGAATTCAATTTATGATAAATTGGGCTAAGTTGTCTAATACTTTGATATGCATTCTATTAAAAGGATCGTGCGATGAACTAAGAGTTATGTACCATGTAAGCTTTCAGTTTTTCATCAATCCCATAAAATTCCATTTCAGCCAAGGTGGTTTCCTCTCGGCCAGTGGTTCTCCTTCTCAGTTTATTCAATTTATGCATGTCTGAAGTCCGTTCATCGAGGAAGTTTTATTTAATTGGTTGTCGCGTGAGATAAACGAAAAGAAATGTTACTGGGGATCGACAATATAAACTTTCCAGTCAAAGTAGCTTGATGGATTATAAGTAACAACAGCCTAGGCTTGCCACTACTAGGAAACATGTTGTTAGGAATCACTTTAATTATAAGGTAGGCAAATTTTCATATTTTATCATTCATGATATATAGAAATAAATATAAGATTGACTTGGATCTAAGCATGTTGCTGATTACAATGTTTATCTCGTCACATTCATCGTGTCGTTTGGCGAGCAAAACGTCCCAACTCTGAAAACTGGTTCAACGGAAATCTACATCTCCGCCGATGAGGCAAATCTTCCTACCGCATTTTGGGACCGAACATGAACTGAATCTGGATCCACACAAATGTTTATTGATCAATTTCACTGAAGGTTTCTTTCAACACATTTACTCTACAACACGCGCTGAGGGGGACGATTGAAAATAAAAATTAACGGTGCAATGCAATTCACAAATCCTCGATGTGTATTTAATTCTAAATGCGACTCCATCTTGTTTGCTTAACTATTACCACTGCACTACTGATTAAATTGGTTTCCTATTAACGGTAGGATATGCATATTTATTACGAAAATAGTACAAATCAGTACTCCCTCAGTACGAAACAACATTGGTGCTCACATGGGTTGATGGTTGAAGAGGTTTACTTATAATAAACGAAGGAGACGAAGCAGAAGCGATCAATGAATCATGTTCATTTGCATACAATGATGCCATGTTAAAGTATGCGAATATCATTATCACCAAGCGCATTTTATCCCATGCGCAAAATTTGGAACTCTTCATTTGCTAGGGGACTGGGGTGAGTTGTCCTGAATGCTTCTGAATATTGATTGAAACTTTATTTAATATTTCACACGGCTGCATTGTAAAGTATTGATTTCTATGAAATTTCTTGCGATTGGTTAAGAAGCGAAGTGACAGTCCCCGGTGTGACGATTTTCCCACAATTAATCGAAGTAGAAGTTAATTAAAGAGCAATTACTTTTGGTAAATGTCATGGAAAAATTGCGACCGGTGCATCAGTGAATGGAGTGCTTAATTAAGGATTGCAAAACGACATGTTAATGAAGTCCTTTCGAAAAGAAGCCACGATTTTGAAGTTACTCCTCCTCGGTAGAAATGTTCAGTACAATTTGCCTATCGCAAATAATACGTTGCATCTACTACACGTCAAAAAGTAGGAGAGGGTGCGTTATCTGTTTAATCGTGACGTAACTGTTTAGATAGGGCGTGAGCTCATTGCACTTATTTTCTGATAATTTAATTTAATATTCGCAGCATTTTCCAATGACCAATTAGGAGAACAAATGTCGTGCACGCCGTATGTGCAACCTCTGAAATGTCGTCGACCATTTTAAGCTGAAGTTGAGTAATTAATTAACCGAAAAAAATGCAATCACAACTGTATACGTATAACGTTACGGTTAGTTAATATTTTTTAAGGCACTTTACACAAAAAGGAGATAAATGAGCCGGAACATTACTAATAAAATGTTGACCCCGCCGCGCGAGCAGATGTTTTCAAACGTGAATGGGTGCCAAAAATGCTAATTACCGAAAACTTTGGCACAATTTCTGTTGTGATATTCGATCCGGTGGGAAACTACGGGACGAATAATTACGGCGTAACGAACGGTATGATCGGGTGAGCTTTAAGCTCGAGAGCACAGGCGAAGAGGAGGGTGCCGAAAAAATTTTCGTGAGTTATATTTGCTATTCCAAGGCCAAGATGAAAGAACAAAAACCTTCTGTATACATTAAACAGAAAACTCGTTCTGGAAGAACAATTTATAAAGAACAAAACTCGTAAAAAAACTAAACTGGTTATAATAAGGCATTTTACGAACCTGCTAACGAATGTGAGCGGAACTCGATATTTAAGCGAGGGCGTGTTGATTGTATCTCGGAAATTATTCCGAAAAAAATGTCGAGGGGTAAATTGTGAAAACACAATTCTCTAAATGGCCGGTGGTTGTAAAACTACACGCAACTCTCGTTTTCCCCGACGAAATTGATAACCCAAAATATAATTGGATCCGAGGAGTCATTATTTTACTTCAAGATTATATCAATCCCGGCATTAATTACGACCGAAATCATCTTCCCTTACACAAACCTCCCTAAGAATTCCCCAGAAAAGAGAAGACTCAATATTAATGAACGCGTCGATGCAATTATCTGATAGGAGTTCCCATCTCGCTTCTGCTCATTACAAGAAAGTCCATCAACCTTAAGGCTAAAAGCACTTAATGTAAATTGCCAAATAGCAAAAAAAAGTTTTTACTCCCAACTTTCCTCGTAACATTAATCTAGAGTTTACGAAACTCGCTAACTAAAATAGAGCCCCTCTATATTTTTGATTACCCGCGACGAGGCGAAGAAAAAAAAAAGATCGTACCTTGTACAAGTACTGATCAAACATTCTCCCGACGTCTACATCATTCCCGACGCAATAAGTAGCCTCCATATTCTCACAAGAGCCGATGAGGGTGTTGATAGAAGCCACAATGGGCATTAGATGTTCCAGTGCTGATACAGGTAGTCCCACGGGATGCAAACGGAAAAACAAGCGGCACTAAACCACACAATGTCACAGTAAAAAACACGTCGTCGCAAAAAAGGGCTTTATAAGTTTCCGGATAGGTCCGGACGCGTGTACACGATCAGCATGATTCCGGCGAGACGCACAGGTGAACGTGTTCGTACGCTAGCGGCGCGAATCCAAATAGAGCGCTCCGAACAGAGGCCCCCCCGACGGTCTCTCTCCCCCTCGTGCGCAAGGGTAGCACAAAACGGAACAGTCCCGCGTCGATTTAAATCTCAAAAATCCATGAAAACGAATAAATAATACACCCCACCCGCCCTTCTACTCAACTTATATACGATGTAATCATATTGCCGTTTCTGCTCCCTCAAGAGGGTTGAAAACGCCACCCCTTTCGAAACATTTTATACACTCTTTAATTAAAAATGAACAGACTTTTATCATATGTGCGTTTGGAATGAATTAAAAATATTTGACGCAATTTATACAACGGATTTTTTTCATTTAACATTAGGGGTGCTTTTCTTTTATTGTCGCCTATTGGTTCAATTTTTAAAATTAAATAACGAGATTCGCGCCCACAAATTTAACTTCCAAACAATAATAAGAAAAACGGATCCGTTTTCAACTACGTAACTAATTCGTATTTATTCCGACTGCTCTTTATGTAAACTGTGTAATGCGTTTGTAGTAGATTGCCATAAATAGTTGTTGTAGAATACGCTTGATCGATTTCATTTCATTTGCTTGTAACTTAGAATGTGAGATCACCGCAGGAAAAAATACACGACATTTTTTCGATTTCGGCTTAAGCGTTAGTTTTCGGTTTGCGTGAAAGAAACTTCGGCCGGTCCAGCACATTGACCAGAACACGGTGTTGTTTTACGGCCCCCAGTTTCAAAATCGCGTTTAAGTGTGGCGGGGACACGAATTTCGTGAAATGGGACGAGTACTACCCTTTACATCGGCGGGTGGAAATTGTGTTGTTCGTTGTCATTAATTTCAAGTTGTCAAGAGAATAATTTTTAATTATTGACTTTTAGGGCGATAAGGTTTCGTTGGTCCATCGCTCGCAACATAAGAAGGGAAGTCCCACACTTTTTGTTTGAATGACTATGGAGTTGGCATCTTCTATTTGCAGTCTTTTGTTTTTGCCGAGTCAACAGAATTTAATTTATCGCACATCATTCACAGGATTTGCCTTTCCGGATCAAAAATAGGCAACGTACAGCTCCCTCTCATGAAAAACTATTGATGGTTTCAATTATATTACTATAACGTTCATGGGTTCATGTGAATTGACAGTGTGGACAAGCGGTTCGTTTTCTAATAAAGTGTTGTTTTTATAACGATCCGTGGGTTTGCAAAACGTTACAATACCAAAAGCAGTACTGGCTAGAATAGTAGAAGATGACACCGTTCAAAACAAATTCTTGACGGCCGAAGTACAAGATATGGTCACAAAGAAACAGTTCCGTTGTTGGAATTGCTAAGAAAATTGGCATTTCCCGTATCGATGTCACAACGTTTGACTAAAACGGTCGACGAAAAGAAGTAAGCATCGATCTGCTATGTTAAGGCCCCTGCTTAATGGAAAAGCAGTGCCTAAATACTTGTAGATACAGGCGCGACAAGAACGGTAATGGCGCCCCGTACTTAGTTAAAACAATTATCATCCTGTTAAGATGCACGGTAAAGTGTCTGTGAGGATTAAGGTCGATTCGCATTTTACGGAACGTCAACGTCACGTCACGGACCGGCACGTCACGTTAAATATCTTTACACTGAAAGTTATAGACATATTCAGACTACACCGTCCGGACCGTCAAAATTTATCAACGAGAATATTTTACCTTACGTTGCCTGTACGGTGACGTGACGTTGACGGTGCGTTCCGTTACGTCTCTATGTGAATGTTATCATAAGAAATCTATAATACAATATTTTGACGTGACGTTGCCGGTCCGTGACGTGACGATGACGTTCCGTAAATTGCGAATCGACCTGAATGTTTGGAGGTTCCCGTATCGAAGGAACTGTTTTGGTATCAGATATTGAACAAGATTTTGCGTGCGGACGTCAATCACCTAGACGTCTCCTACTAGCAAAACGGGAGGAAGCGGAAAGGATGATAAAAGACATGGAATCTGAATGTGTTATCGAGTCATCTAATAGTCCTTGGGCTTCGCCTGTGGTATTCGTTAAAAAGAAGGATGGGTTAACACGATTTTGTGTGGATTATCGTCGCCTCAATGACGTAACTAAAAAAGAAGCCTATCCACTTCCACTAATTGACGACGCGCTTGACACGCTATCTGGTTCCAAGTTTTTCTCGCTTTGGATTTAAAAAGCGGTTATTGGCAAGTGGAAAAGGCGCCATAAGATCTGGACAAGACTACAATTACGAACGGATCGGGATTTTGGCATTTTACAGCCATGCCGTTTGGATTGTGTAACGCACCCGCGACGTTTGAACGTCTCATGGAAAATGTGCTAGACGGAGTATCGTGAAAGACTTGTTTAGTCTACCTGGACGACATCATAGTGGTGGGAGAGACCTTCGAAGATCGCATGAAGAATCTGCGACAGATCTAACAAGGGCTTTGGATTTGGTTCGCTAATCTAAAACTCAACAAAAGCGTTGTTGGATACTTCAGTAAGTTGCTTTCTAAGCATGACCGAAATTCTTGTGTTACCCGACGAGAGTTTCTGGCCCGCTGTAAAATCCATCGAGCATTTCTACAAATACCTGTACGGAAGAAACTTTATGGACAGATCTTGTAAGATCTAGAGATACGAGTATATACTCGTAGTTTGCCTTGTTCGCACCGTGTAGGTCATTTTTTGGGAATTGGATATCACTGTCAGCAGGAGTTACTGTATTGAGAGCTCTGTTATCTACTCACAATTTTTCTTGGGTAGAAAGGCAACCCGGTGATTTACATTCCACTCTCATATGGTGGTACAGCAATGGAAGTATCCGCAAATGGTGTATGTCCACTACTTGGTTCGAAAACTTAACAAAATTTCATTAAGGGCGAGTTGATATGTTCTTTCTGTTCTGGCTGTACAACACGGCCCTAATCTTCTCTTACTTTCAAGTTCAAACTGTACGTTGTTCACGTGACCCGAAAAATCAACGTTAGTGTCAAAAACAAATTGTTGTCCAGGATTCTCTCCAAACAAGTATTATAATAACAATGTTCGCTTGTTGTATAAAATCTACATCTAGTAATGTGCGGCTATTTTAATGATCAGGGGCTGCTGCACGATACACTTACAACGGTATGCTCTTGCGCATCTAGCGTGACGTCACGTGTGAACAAAACCATAGAATATTGAGCAAACTTACGCTACTTATGCCCGTTTGCACCGACAAATTTAAGTGGAGCTTAGCTTAAGCGTAGCTTAAAATCCCTGACAACGATTATTGAGGCAATGGTTGCCATGGATTCTAAGCTGCGCTTAAGCTAGGCGCCGCTTAAATTTGTCGGTGCAAACGGGCATTAGATGGACAAAGTAGAGATCGTCGCGTCGGATATTTCTGGGATTTCACGATGGTATGAAATAAACTCTAACCAAAAATTTTGGCCCTAAACATGAAGTGAGGCTTTTTCAGTAAATATTATGTAATTAATGCGTTATCAAAAGATCTAATCTATCCTCCGTTTCCCTTTTAGTTTGATTTTCATTATTACGTGGTAGTTTTAAAGTAGGTAAAGGTTCAAATGTCCGCTGTTTAAAAGTATAATTAAGACGTCGTTCCCTTAGCGGTGCTTCAAAACGACTGGCTTCAAAATGTTCAGAAAAAATACAGGCTATAAAATTAAACAGCAATGTAAAAACTTAAATACACAACTTAAAGTAGTTAGAGCGCGTTCGGCTGAAGTCAAGTGATGTACTCGGCCTACCTATTACTTACGGTAAACGTCCCCAAAAAAATGTTGTTATGAAGGAAACATAATTAGAAATACGGTATGAGTGGTATTTTATACCTCAGCACAATGCAAACGTCTTACATGATTTTTAAAAAGGTATATACAGTAGTCAACTTGACTAGTCTCCCTACTTTTCGACCCTGTTTCAAACCTTTGCACACTAAATGTTGACGACACACCGCGACTAAATATTCACAGTTAAGCGGTAAATCCTAAACGAATGTATTTCTTTTTAATCAAAACGTATGCGAGACGTATGTAAAAGCCGGGAAACTAAATAATTTGGCGTTTTACGTGAAGTCGGTGTAGTGGATTTGGTTTTTCGATGTTGGCGCCAGAGATCCCCAGCCGCTATCTTGATTTCGATCCGATCAGTGTGTCAACAAGACGTGTGCAGGCCTTGATAAATATCGCTGGTTTTGGTGTTCTTTCTGAAAGACACCATGCCTTTTGTGAAGAAAAGTGCTCAGCAGAAGAAGGAAAAGATTGTCCTAGCTCAGCTATATACTAGACCTAGTGGAAAAGTCATCAGATTGAAACGCGTGCTGCATAGCGTCCCGCCGCGTCAGAGCAGACGCCGCTTCGGCGGTAAATATCTTCCTTATTTCATCATGAACATGTACTTTTCCGTGCAAATTTAGATTCGTCACAAAATTTCGCTTCTAATGAGACCCATCTCATTTAAGTCTTGATACAAAAACCTTCTCTAGCTCAGAAAAACTGAGTCTGTCCATAAGAGCCCATGTTAAAATACCCTGTCTTTACTGTCAAATATCTCAGAAACGGTACATAGGAACACTTTTTTCTTTTGACCATTGGAAAGTGCGTCTCTCAGAGAATAAGTGACTAAATTTTCACCAACTTCTTGTTACTTTTACCTAGGCGCTCTAACTAACTTAAAAGTACTGTCTTTTTTTGAGGCCCGAAAAAAAATTGTCTGAGATCGACCGGAAAGAAACATTTTCTTATAGAATGTGGCCTGTAGAATCCATAATTTCAAACAGTTCCAAGATTGGGCTACTAGTTCAAAAGTTACAGCCCTTTGAATTTTCTTTCGAAATTGGTTTCTAGTCTATAACTTTTGATTGAGAAGTCTGATCGAAAAAGTACGAATTGTTTTGGATTCTACGCACCAAAATTAATAAGAAAAAGTGTTTTTCCGAGAAATTTTGGTGCAGTCGATTTTTGGTAAAAAAGGAAGGTTATACACTGCCTTTTTTTGAGGCCCGA